CGTGCAAGGCCAACGCAGGTATCACTTTCCATGTAATAAAGACAGAAAAACGAGCTGGGCTGTGGCTGTGCAGAGAGCCACAGCGACAGGTAGCCTTTGAGTACAAAACTTTGAAGCCAGAGTGAGCTAAAATCATTTTATCACAGGTATACGTGTGTATGCCACACTAAAAATATTCGACAGATCCCGCGTACCTGAAAATCGACGTTATGCGAAGCATGCATGCGGAGGGATGGTGACCGCGTTAAGATTTTTAGGCGCGAAGCTCCTTATAGCGGCACCCGTTCGTCCCCCATAGTGTGTAACAAGTATAACATTTTGACTACCAAGGTGCTGCCGGTGAGAGACTTCTGTGTGTTGTTGAACAATGAAAAATAGTGCTCAATGTACATGTCAATGGCTGCTAATGGGGAATGAGAGACAGGAGCATTCAGCTTTTAGTTAACGCGCAGGCTGCGATCACCATTAGCAGCCATTGGCATGTACATTGAGCACTATCTGACAAGAAAGGGTTGGTACGTTATACTCGCTGGGTGTGACCTCCTTAGCTTTAGAAAGGTTTAGCGAGCGTTGAGCCACCGTGCCATGAATACAATGAACTTGTATATACCATGAATGAACTCGAGGTGGTTAAAAATGCGAAGTAGATACGAAGCGCAAGCCGTAAGAAAGTAAAAGCCGAATTCTCCGCCTCTCATTTCCCATTAGCAGCCATTGGCATGTACATTGAGCACTATATGACTGAAAAAGTTTGCTACGTCATACTCGCTGGGTGTAACCTCCTTGGTTTTCGAAAGGTTTAGCGAGCGTTCGGCCGCAGTGCCATGAATACAGTGAACAAGTATATACCATGAACTCGAGGTGGTTAAAGGTGGGAAGTGGGCCTGAAGCGCAAGCCGTAAGAAAGTGTGCGTGTGCCACCTCTCATTTAGTCCTTGGAATGTCCGCTGGATGGCGGTGCTTCTATATGGGGAATATACGATGAAAAGATGCGAGGTGGTGGTACTTGTAGTGTTGAATAGATGGACGAACGGACACATAGACAGATGCATGGATGGACGCATGAACGGACGCAGGGGCGGCTGCATGGACGAACGCAGGGACGGATGCACGAACAGACGCACGCACGGACGGGCTGATGGACGCATGGACGGTCACACTGACGGGCGCATGGACGGACGGAAGCAAGAACGAATGGACGGACGAATTTTTCGCCCCACTCTCCATCATTCACTCCGTGGATATGCTGCCATTTTTTTTAATGAGCGACACGTCATGAAAAAGCTAAATATATGTACAAATGTTGCACGCACAGACATATGTTGAAGACTTGAAAATGTTTATATAACCAGTTGTTTGCATTTGCGCAACGATGTCAACTAGAACATGCGTATTAGCAACACCAGAAGCTGATATGAAGCGCTGATACAGGCGAAGATGCTGGCCCTGGACAATGCTCATAACTCAACTTCCGCGGATGGCACCTAACCGCAATTGACGTTAACCCGACGTGACAGCTGTATCATAGAAGTACATATGTAATGTTTATAAAAGTGGGTAGGCAACACTGCAACCACTATTGACGTTTCACTAAGATAAGCGTCTATTTGAAAAGTAGTTCCGAGACGTGTAGTATAGCTCTGATGTAGAATGTTTGACTGCCACGCAGAATGCTGGGGTTCGATTCCTGTTGGGACGCTGAAATTTATTGTTGGCTCTCGTCGGAGGGTCAACGCTTCCTATGTCAGGTTTTTTCTAATACTGACATTTATTCTTTGCATTCCTCCGGTCGCCGTTACCGATGTCAGGTATTTCTTAAAGCTCGCGCGTTAAAGTTGTCCATGTGTGTTCTCGTCGTTTCTAGGCAGATACTAAGTGTCAATCACCCGTGGCACATAACCGCATACCAGTAGCACATACCCGCCCATGTGAATGTGCCACTGCCTGGCGGGAAGTGTTTGACGTCGTACGTCACGGGATTGTGACATTATTCACGTCTTGACCAGCGCATCATATTCGTCAAGCCATCTTACCCTCGCATGCTGATTTTGGTTCACGCCACGTTAAGGGGGTGATCACGAGAGCGCCTAAACGTAAGCGGCTAAATAGATAGATAGATAGATAGATAGATAGATAGATAGATAGATAGATAGATAGATGGATAGATAGATAGATAGATACGCTCAATGTCACCGAAGTTCGCTAAGAAATGCTTCGCATTTAAAAAGCATGCGCATGAGTTTGCTGCGAATAATATATTGAGAAATTGTCGTGCAAGTGCGCCTAGCAAAGATGTTACACGAACGGGCGGGCGAAATCTACCTGTCATACGAGATTAGCGCCGGCCATTGCACCCATATACATGACAAAAAAACGCGAAAGCTTCACTCAAGAGTAAGTTTACACGAAGCGCTGGACGAGTTCATTTGCATTTATCTTGGTCAAACTGTGCGCCAGGATGGCACCCAAAGAAAGAAGCGAGTTAAACAAGCGCAGGGTTTCGATTATTCGGCGCCGTCTTTGTCTGACTGTATTGCTTATGTACCGCCGTGCCGCACAGCTTGACCAAGATCAGCGTTCAAATAACCATCTGGCTCCGACTAAAAATGCATCCTATAGCGTGCTGAAGGCTAGAAAAAAATATTTCGACGCGCTCAATAAGTGCTGCGCTTAATGCTATCGACTGACGATGTCGGCCGAAGCAGCGATCCCGAAATGAACTCTTTGCACACTGCTACAGTCATCCCCATTCCCTGAGATCTTTGAAATGGGGACTTTTTATCTGCAGTAACGTATCATACAATGAAAACTGTTTTTTGTATCGACTGATCTGTTAGCCAAACTGACAGTACCCCCGAGCAGCATAAAAGCATCGCAGATCATTTAAGAGTGACAAAAAAAAGGCAGCATATCCACGGAGTGAATGATGGAGAGTGGGGCGAGGAATTCGTCCGTCCATTCGTTCTTGCTTCCGTCCGTCCATGCGTTTGTCAGTGTGACCGTCCATGCGTCCGTCAGTGTGACCGTCCATGCGTCCATCAGCCTGTCCGTGCGTGCGTCTGTTCATGCGTCCGTCCCTGCGTTCGTCCATGCAGCCGCCCCTGCGTCCGTTCATGCGTCCATCCATGCATCTGTCTATGTGTCCGTTCGTCCATCTATTCAACACTCCAAGTACCACCATCTCGCATCTTTTCATCATATATTCCCTATATAGAAGCACCGCCATCCAGCAGACATTCGAAGGACTAAACGAGAGGTGGCACACGCACACTTTCTTACGGCTTGCGCTTCGGGTCCACAACCACCTCGAGTTCATGGTATATACTAGTTCACTGTATTCATGGCACTGCGGCCGAACGCTCGCTTAACCTTTCTAAAACCAAGGAGGTTACGCCCAGCGAGTATAACGTAGCAACCCTTTGTTGTCAGATAGTGCTCAATGTACATGCCAATGGCTGCTAATGGGGATCGCAGCCTGTGCGTTAACTAAAAGCCGAATGCTCCTGTCTCTCATTCCCCATTAGCAGCCATTGACATGTACATTGAGCACTATTTTTTATTGTTCAACAAAGCACAGAAGAAGTCTCTCACCAGCACCACCTTGAAGGTCAAAATGTTATACTTGTTACATACTATAGGGGACGAACGGGTGCCGCTATAAGGAGCTTCGCCCCTAAAAAGTTTTCTGACCGTTCATGGGTTTCGTAGCTTGTCATCGTCACAGTTACGGTACGCAAAAAAAAAAACTTCTAAAGCACTGACATTGCATGGAGAGGTGCTTTTTTTCAGTGGAGCAGTACAATAATGCACGCGTGCCGCTGCTCAGCCTTGCGGAGCATCGAACCGGAAGCCGTCATATCCCACAGTTCCCTGCGATTGCCCATTTTACCGGTCACCCATTGCGGCAAGACACGAACAGACAAGATTATTCTAGAGATTGCGTGACGACCAGTGATAAGGTTGAAATATTCGACGGCACATGTATAAATTCCGACGCGCTTCACCGCTTGTCCGTTGACCGACGGCCGACGCTCTGCTCGCTGTTATCAGTGCAAGTGTCTTGCTGTAGTCTGACTTTACTTTTAAGTGGCCACAATTCCGGTGATCTTTCATCTACAGTCTGCTCCTTCCGTCCACATCACGACGTCGTGACAATATGAATCAGTTACCACACCGGTACTGGAGCTGTTCGGTCATAATAAAATTGTCATGAATCGTATAGTACTCAAACCCAGCTCCTTAGAGTTACTCGTGATTACTCGGGAAGCTGTTCGCGCCGTCGCTTGTCTGTTGCCTGGAGCATCTACTAACGCAGAAGTCGAGCCATGGTTTAGAGCAGGTTTCTGACAGTTTAGGCAAGATTAAATTTTAATTGTCTCTATAGAAAATAACAATATTTCTTATACGTGCAATAAAATGCCAAATCAACAAAAGAGAATTCGTGTTCAAACCTATGTGATTTCATATATTATACAGAGAGAACTGATTACAACAGCTCATTTAAGTTGACATCGAAGTTCGAATGTTTTTTTTATCATATTAGGCGTTTCTCGTACGAAGATTCGAAATTCCACAAGTTTTAATCTCTGGTCTTCACATATAATTATGCGGAACTGCCCGTTGATTTCTATATACACTTGCAGTTATGAATTTTATATGGTATGATCATCAGCTAAAACGTAAATACTGAACATGTGCGTTAAATTTAGTAAGTGTAACATATGTGTACATTGTCAGCTTAGGCTGTTGTGTAATTCTCCTGTATATGTACTTCGAGGGAGACCAATGCCAACTAAATCCCTGTTATTTAGGACGTCGTCAATGAAACCTTATAACGTGTGACAGCTTCATACGGTGATTAGCGAATTTCTCTTAACCCTAACGAGTTTATAACATTCCGAAAAAAGGATCCAATTCAGTCACGCACTTTCTAGAAAGTTGTGTTTGTGAATGTGTTTTTGCCAATGCGCTCAAGGCCTGTGTCCGTGTCAATCGAACAGGTATGTCTACGCGCTTCGGAACCCGTACGACACCTGCGTGTCGTACTACCACCAGGTGCAACAAAAAGCCCCAGGTTGCGGTGACCTGACCTTCGACGAGTTCTTCGAGCAGTTCATAGACGGATGGATTCACCCGGACGATTACTTCGATCACCTGGCGTCCTGGTTCGCGCACAAGGCGAGACCTAACTTTCTGTGCGTAGCGTACGAGCACATGAAGAAAGATCCTCGTTCGGGTATTCAAAAAATCGCTGCGTTTCTCGGAAAGGAAATCAGCGACGATGCAGCACTGGATGAAATCGTACAGGTATGTCGTGAGTTTATTCCATTAAAGGAAAAGTGCTCCTTTAAGAAAGAAAGATTCTCACATTTAAAATTTATTTGTAGAATAAAATGTAACCTTCAAGCGTTCAACGCATAATTCTTCATTGTTCTTCAAGAGTGAACCAATGAAATACCAGTTATAATTGTCACCATCGTAATCATAAAACGCAATACCATTAATTAGGGCAGAAAAATTTATTATAGAAACTACCGATGGCGAGCACGATTTTCGATTATGTTAGTTAATTGCAACTAATCGTGTTACGGTGCAAGTTCTGTAGCTCGCGTGCTTTTGTTTTCCATAAAGCGTCATGGCCAACGTCAACAAACCACTGAAGTTTGTTTATTTGTTTTTGTAGTTTTTTTCGTAAATACTGCATGTTCAGATAAAGGATCAGGGTTGAGGACCTGCCTTACAATCTGATCATTGAAATACCGTAGATGTGTGGGGTTTATGGAGTCGTCATAATTCGTATGTTAATATATCTTTTATTCGTTTTGTTTTGTTTTTCTACAATATAGACCGTATCTCCGGATGTTATGAAAAGAGCCTTCGCCGAAGCCCTTTCTGCAAGGCAACAGGAGAAGTCTGTCAAAGGCCGTCCCCCGAACGGAGCTTTAGACAACTCGTCCGACGGAGTTAGCAAGCTCAAAGGAGGAAGCCTCGTGAGGACAGCGACTGTCGGCGACTGGAAAAACCATTTTTTGGCCTCTCAAATTGACCGTATGAAGGCCAAAATGGCATCCAAGACTGTCGGCTTTCGAACAGATCTGGAGGTTTTGTGGAAGGACGCCAATCTGCCGTGAATGGTCTATTGAGTATGCACCACAAAAAAAAAACAATTCAGCAATTTCACGCATGCCCACATGCATCCATCTGGAATAAATTTCGGTTAAGAATATCAATAATAACTTTTTGTTTGAAATCAAATATTCTTTCGTAGAGTGGAGAGAATACGAACGCATGGTGCGAAGGACCGGGGCGTACGATGAAGTAATAGCGTTGGAGAAGCAAGAGATACACGAAAAATAGCATTCTTGATAGCAACTTCGGGATCGTAACTGCGATCACGACTTTCTGACGCTTTGCTTATAAAAGAGCTCCAACTTTTACTAAGTTCGCATGTCATAGTTCATCTCACCATCACTGCAGCAATAACTTAAGCATTAGGCTTCTCCCCGACACCTGCCCTGAATAGAGAGCAGGAATCAGGGAGACCCCTTCGACTCCAACCCTGTATAGAGATCAGCAGTTGGACAAAAGCCTTCGACCTCTGTCCTCTATAGAGAGCAGGAGATGGGGAGAAGGCTCCGATTCCAGCCCTCAGCCCTTTATAAAGGGCAGTAGTCGTGGAGAAACCTTCGGCGTTGCAGTCATCAACTCACACTTATGTGCCGATATAGTTGGCGCTGAACACATATACTCGTTAAATTGCTCGCCAAGGGACCTCGTACCACCGCACCGCGGTGGTCTAGTGGCATCGCCTTTAGATACAGTATCTAAAAACGTTGTCTAGTGGCTAAGGTACTAGGCTGCTTACCCGCAGGTCGCGGGATAAAATTTCGGAGGCGGCGGCTGCATTTTTGGTGGAGGCGAGAATGCTGTAGGCTCATGTGCTCAAATTTGGGTGCTCATTATGGAACCACAGGTCGGTGGAATTGCTGGAGCCCTCCAATAAGGCATCTCACATAATCACATGGTGGCTTTGAGACGTTAAACCCAGCAAATCAATCAAGGAGCCACGTACCGGGAATGCATGCAGTCGTTGTTCCCCAGGCGGCAGGCGACGAGCATGTGGCGCAGCTGGTGTCCCATGTTTCGCACAACACTCCGGTTGAGGCGCCTTTTGCGCGCCATCCACAGCCACAGCTCGGACTGCAGCGCCGCGTCTTCCAGGTTGGGCTGCGCGCCAGGTCAGTTACGAATCAGTCACGGGGCATCCATGGCACGCCATTTCGGTCATTGGCGCATCTACTGTGGTACAGGGATGCGGTACCCCAGGGCCTACGTAGTTTTAGAATAAAAGCTCTCAAAGCCTAACATTAAACGTCGGGCATGCACAAAAAACTCTCCACGTCCTTGCTTATCGCACGCCGTTGCTTATCAGGTGCGCCCACTGACGGATACAATGCGCACTGCCATCGGGCCGCTTCTCAACTTGGCGTGAGCCGATTACGAGCGATTATATAGGCCCTCGCTTCTACCGCTGTACACTATAGGCACCCGACAGTGGACCAGAGGGCGCTACGAAGCTCTCTAGGCCGCATCAGCATTGTTGGTACCGACCGCCAGGGATACTAACAACATGGAACGCTCGCTGAACACAGTGACACGCTGAAGTGTCAGTGCACTTTTAGGCTCATTTTCACAGAACGCTTCCTGGGCGCTACGTAATCAGCCATAGCCCCCTTCCTCACAAACTAAAAAGAAAATGATATACACGTGCAAGTTCGGTTTTGCTGCGTCTACTCGCTAAGCTACTCATTGGAAGACTCGGTTTTGCTGCGCCTACTTGCTAGGCTGTGTGTTCTGGCGCTAGCATCTGATCTTTTAAACTGCATTGCCGGGTGCCTATAGTTCGAGCGCTGGAGTTATAGACATTCTAGTGTAATCGTTGACAGGCTATGGCTCGACTCTTCTTTGTCTACACCAGGAGTTAACCTAACAGCTTTACTGAGGCTAATAGCTTTACTAAGCTAAGAGCTTTACTGATACAAATGCGATACAATGTGCTGTATGGAAGCTATATAAAAAGTTGAACTTGTCGAAAGTATTTTTAGGCGGGCTGGTCGGTTCGTTAGTGTGGCAAAAGACAGCAAACTATGAACACAGCACCCCGTCCTTTGCGTTTCACTACCCCGTAGTTTGCGCTGTTTTGTTGGAATGAACTTATCAACTCCTAAAATATTTTTATTCAGCCGCATCTAAAATAACCTATGACCATTAAGAGTCATGACCTAACACTCGACAACTGACTGAGCTTTGTGTCGAATCTATTCTAATTGGTTTTCTTGGTTTGGCTTCTACAATCCCTTGTCGTATATAATCAATATATTCCCTTATTCCTGCTTATATGTGCTGAAAACATTCACAGATACTGTTATTCTCTAGCCTTCTCTCCTTTACGTCCAATTCTGCTAATTTGATTACAGATTACAAAATGCGGTACTGCGACATGGCTAGCCACCCTTTTCTTCTTTTTTATCTCCCTGTTCTTATTTCTGTGCAATGTTGCCAAAAATATTGACTTTAAACGTTCTATTGTCGTTTTAAGCAGATTTCGGCTCGCTATCCAGTGCCTCTCCAAAGAGAAGCACTTTGAACAATTTAGAGCCCTATCGAAGAAGAGCACGCAAGTTATGCTGATTAATTAATGATCAGTCGTGAAAGATTCAACTGCGCTAATGAAACAAGGATGTAAGTGAATTAAAGGACAGCCTGTGTGCAGTGCAGTCCTTTGCTATATTTGTGGCCTTCTTTTATAAGCGCAGTTCAGCGTTTCAACAATACAGGGCCCATGTCTCACCTCGTAATAAGCGGCCGGCTCGTCACACTCCCTCCACCAGACTCGGTCGGGCACAGCTTCGCGACGCGCCAGCCTCCGGTCCTTGCAGAGCGCCGACCTTCGAATCGGATTCACGTTGCACACGGTCACGTCGGGAAACGGCAGCGACGTCTGCGTGCCGTAGTGGACGCTGGTGAAGACCCCGTACTGGTGGTACTCGCCGAACACCCGGGCCCACTCGCGCAGGTTCAGGCCGATCAGGAGCGAGACGACGAGCAGCCAGCAGAGCCGCCGGAAGGCGCCGCCCGTCAGTCCTAGGAGGACGTCGCACCCCGAACATCCCGCCGAGGCCACCCTCTCGCGGTACCTGGGTAAGAGAGGCAGCGGACGGCATATTCGCATAGACGCTTTACTATGACGTAGACGAAACATCGTTAGTCGTTGGAGTCTCTCCATGATCAGTGTATTCCTCCCCATAGTATGCAATGCATACCGTGGAAAGAAGAAGCCGGCTCAGCTGACTGGCTCGATGCTATGTTGTCCCTCTTTACAAAAAAAAAAAAACGTTCAATATGCGTATTGTTTAGCACACGTGTGCACATTGACTGCGTTGAGTGTTACACTCATCAGGACCTAGAAGTTTTCCGTTCACGTGTATAGTTGCCTCCACTTTCAAAAATATGAAACGCACTTCACGAAATCAAGCGGGTTTCATACGGTGATCTCTCGGTCGCGCACGAAGCCAAGCGAGTTGAGAAAAAAACATGTGTAAGTGCACGAACGAACAAAGGGGAATTGATGAACGACTCCTTTCCTTCGTTCCAACAGGAAAGTGCACAGGACATTATTTGTAGTATTTAACTTGCAGTTTTGTAATTATGACATAATCTGGAGATTATTGGAACTTGTTGATTGGGTACTTGGGCTATAGTTGGTAAATCATCATATGTAGGGGCTTAGCGCAACTTGGTAATCCCTCGGAAAACACTCACATTCACTCACGCGTTCACTCAAGACGTGTGTGATGTGTGTTTCTTGACTAGATGCGGGTGTGTATGTAAGAGTGCTTTTCCAGAGATTACCAGTTTGCGTTAAGTACCTACAATAATCTATCGAGAAAGTACAGCGAACGAAATTAAGGACAACTTGCCACAGGCAGGAAGAAGTCTGGTAGCAAGCGGATTAGATCTACTGATAATCCTCGTATACGCACCAATAGAGAGCTTGCAACTGAGTGACGTCTCAAGAGTTCCATTGCTGGATTGACAAAGTGCATGCGGCGAAAAGGGGGGAAACGCTGTATGAGGGCAAAACAGGCTCAACCGTTCTTCGTGGCCGTTTAAGGGCCCGAACTTACACGCCGTGCTTTCGGATATGCAGCTTGTTCTAGAGTGTAAATGTAGAAATTAATGAATAAATAAACACTCTTTGATGGTTTCTATTAAGGTTGCAATGATGAGAAATTCAATGTGATGCACAGTGAACACACAAAACACACACATCACACCGCAGCATGCGACATATAAAAACGACACCACAACGCAAACTAAAATATTTGTTTTTTACTGCGCATCAACATGCTCAACGTTTTCTGCTATGACATCAGAAGTAGTAATGATATTTGGGGTAATGCTACATATATTCTAAACATGGCTGGTTTGGCAACAGTGATAAATATTAAGAAAAGATAACGCCCATGTGTTCGGGAATGAAATGGTCTATTTTGTTGTGTTTGCAAAGTTAGCGAGGTGTCTTTTTTTCGTGGCGGAGGAAAAGAGTGGTAGGGAAGGTAAAACGTTGAACATGAATTTCGGATTCTCGGTGCTCACATGCGCGATGATCTAAAAATCTTCCACAGTTGTCTGAAAATTGTGTGCAGGTGATAGAAAGATGCGACTTATATATTCTCGCTCAGCTATGAAACGCTAATCGTGGCCGCGCCGTGGTTAACGTGGAAGCTCGCTTTCCCTCACATCCCTAATGTGTCTCCTTTCCTTTCTTACGCCCCCCCTCTTCCCCGTGTACTTTCTTTTTCTTTTTTTTAAAGGAAACACAGGGAAAACACGTTCGCTGCGCTGAGGTCCTTTCAGCTTTTTCGCACAAGGTTCCTTCTCTTTTTCAACATTCATTTTCATAATGCGTTCCCCATCTCTCTCTCTCTCTTCTTTCTCTGTCTCTCTCTTTAATGCTTTTTTTGTTTTTTTTGGTAACTTACGAAGGGCTCATTCCCCGTTTAGGCTTTGCGTAGTTTTGCGTTTAGCGTAATAAAGATTATTTTGGTCCAATAATGAGCGAAGCCTCTGCGGTAGTTCAATCACACCATTCGATAAAGTTCCTTGATCTCAACATTAGGCGCGGCATAAAGTCGGAGCAATGAAACATTTTTCTCGCCTCCACTTTGAAGGG